TTCAGCAATAAAAACTCTACGTCTGGCGAACAGTGCTTATAAACAGTCCGTACATCTCCACACCATGAGTTATTAATAAACACACACATTTAACAGACTTTTCTACTGCTGCCGAACAATCGTTATATCAAAATAAAAAATTGATGGGTGTTCTATAGGAAATATGCTGAGAAATTAGCAGCCCAGGACATGTTTTTCTATTTATTTGACCCATTTATAGTCAGTGTTTGTACCTTCTTTCCACACATTTAATGCTAACATTAACATCGGACTGCTTCAATCGTTTCTGCACTGACCACACTCAGTAGCCACTTAGCTAGGACTGACTAGACAAGCAGCTCCACAATACTCGCATTTAAACTCAGCTCACTCCTCCACTTTGTTACTTCGCTTATCATCACATGCAGCAGCTTGTTATAATTCGTTAGCTAATTTTGCACACTTAGCTTCAACCCACAAGTCAGTTTTCCCATGCCCAAGGACACTATGACATTTGGACTGGGGAGACTGGGAATTGAACCACCAACCTTCCGATTAGAGAGGACCTCTCTCCCACCTGAGCCGCACTTTTTCTGGGCCACCTGATAATTCTCTGTTTATCACAGTGAGCAACTACTTTGATATTACACATACTGTAGTCAACTGACGCAGTGTTAAAGTAAAAGTCAAGCGCTGATTAGAATTTCTTTTCTTGTCCAAACTTCCTCATTTAGATTTTCCTTTGGCAGCAGAGCAAAGACTCATGTTCTGCGTCACCTTCAGAAACAGAATATTTTCCTTTATTGATGACTGAATGAATTCTTAAGACCAGGTACTGGTAGAGCTCTACAAACATTTATTGAATTTACGTAGTTACACACGTTCAGCCTTTTCCACAGCTGCAAAAATCTGTTTTGTCTTATTACAGTTGTTGTTAACTGGGTGACTGTGAGCCAGTATTGTAAAATCTTTGTGTGTGGGTTTGCTTCTTGTAACCTGAGATTACATTTAACAGATTGTTTGTCTCTCTCTCTCTGCCTGTGTGTGTGTGTGTGTGTGGGCGTGCATTGCTACAGGCTGCAAACAGCTACTTAAGGGACCAGTGGTTTCACTCCCTACAGTGGAAGGTAAGGTTACAGTTTGTCTTTAACTATTAATTGATTTGTTTCATCAGCCCAATTAAAGTATCATGCTGAGGCCTTTAACCCCCCCGACACACACACACACACACACACACACACACACAAATGATGCACATACACGTGCATCCACCAACTGAGCCTTACACATAAGACTACCTCACACATTGAAGATTATTGTAGATCAGTCATGTTGAATATGAAAAATAGGGTTGTTGTTGTATTACAGATCCTCTCACAGCCTGACTCACCATTTTACAGCAGTGTACAGACAGGATCAGACATCTAAATCTGTCTAGTCCCAGAGTCGCGCTGTGCTCACTGAGCTAAATAAAGCTGTACAAGGAAGCATGTCTGAACTAGCTGAGAGCAGTTGTCCTCATAGTTAAATGAAATATAATAATGATGAAAGAATATGTTTTCTGTTTAATATTCTCTACAAATAACGTGTCTCAAAGAACTACAAAACCCTGAAAAATGTCATGATACTGTAGGTAGACTTTATATAGGTCTGATTACTCACACACACTTCCTGTTTGTGTTTTCACTGCACCAGGTTAAATAGAAATGTTCTATGTCAGGGGTGTCAAACTCAATCGTACAGGGGGCCAAAACTCAAAGCACACTTTAGGTCGTGGGTCGAACAGAATAAACATTAATTGACCAGACTAAAACTAAACCTTTTTTGAACATAAATATGAATCGAAACAGACAGGATATAATATTATTCCAAAATAAATAAACTTGAACTTAAAATCAGCAACCCTATTTCTGCTAAGACATTTGCAAACACCTGCTTTTTGTCTGGACACCAGACGTCTCACACTTTCATCATGCAGCTCTTCAGAAACTCTCCCTCGGTAAATGTCCGGGCTGATTTTCTCCTCTGCCACAATAAAACTTCTTCCACAGCAGCTTCACTGTGTGATTTCACTTTGGTGAAAACGTCTGCTGTGATGTCAGATTCCTCTTCAACTCCTCTACCTTCTGTAGCTTCTGCTCTTCATTCACGTTTTTCAGCTTGTCCTGATGTTTTGTCTCGTAGTGCCGTCTTAGGTTATATTCCTTAATTACAGCCACATTAGCTCCACAAATAAGACACACGGGTTTACCGGTAATGTCCGTAAACATATACTCAGCCTCCCACCGGTTTAGAAAGGCTCTGTTTTCAGAATCAACTTTTCTCTTGGCCATTGTTAGGGGCTAGCTTTGACTTGAAATTAGGGTTGTATACATCAACAGAGGCTTGATTGATTGACATAATTGACGCGGGAATGATCGCAGGTAGCCTATGGTTCGGTAAGGCAGCTGTTGCACTGCATTATGGGATTTGTTGTTTGTGTGTTATTGGCGCTTCATATTGCCAGGCCATTAAAAAAAAAAGATATATAAAATTATCTCGTGGGCCGGATGTATCGGCACGTCGGGCCGGATGTGGCCCGCGGGCCTTGAGTTTGACATGTGTTCTACGTTAACCAACATGCTTTCTGACAAACAGTGGTGTGAAAGAGGCTCAAAACCAGGACAGAGTTCACACTCTGGAAAATATTTCTTAATGGTATCAGGGTTGTCGTAGTATGATCCTCACAGAATGATGCAGACAGCAGCTACAGAAGATGACAGATAGTCACCATGTGCTGCTACATTGTGTTTCCTGCAGAAAAAGATCTACAAGTACCGTAAGGTCCTGAACAACCCGAGTCGCTGGGACGTGGTGCTGAAGGAGATCAGAACACTGGTGGACATGGCTCTGACCTCACCGCTGCAGGACGATTCCATCCACCAGGCTCCGCTGCACATCATCTCCACCCTGCTGGCTGAGGTAGCGCCACCTGCTTCCATCACTTTGAAGGGCGTTACAGAGACCTACATTCATTTCCTGGAGACCTACCAAAGCATAATCACTGCTTGCCTAAGCCTTAAACCAAGTCTTCATATTTCAGTGTCATGCCACTTTATACTTCTGCTCCACTTCTACTCAGGAACAAATATACTTTGTGCATTCGTTTTTTGACAGTTATGGTTTGATTTTACACACAGAACATAAGTTTCATGGGGCACCTACCCAACCGATTATAAAATTGTTCAAATTACACGTACAGTACAACAGTACTACTGAATGCATTGTTGTTGGCAGATTTTTAAATGAGAACCGTATTCCTGAATCAGTACACTGAATGTACAGCCACCATAGGTTTATCTTAGCCTAGCATGGACTCAGGAAGAAATGGGGAGAACAGCTAGCATGGGCCTGTTATAAGTGGTGTTACTGGCACTAAAAAGGTTTGCTTTAGAGATGCTGGTTGGCAAGTTTTATTCCTTTTAATTTGCCTCAGGCGATCCCTAAAATAATAGATAGATCGTAATAACAGGCAGGAACTGTCATGTAAGTGCACTACATTTTCTAACGATCACTGTCATGTTGGGATTTGCTGTTGTTTGTCCTGATGCTGGTGTCATTTCCTCAGAGCTTGGGTAGTGCAGGGGAGGTGTTTGGACAGCCTTGGTGTGGTACTGTGGTGCCACACTTGAGCTAATCCTAAACATGACACTACTCATAATCTTGACCCTAGTGACAAACTTTTTATTTAAGGAAAATCCCTTGTAGTTTTACAGCTTTTTATGATTTTGTGAGGACATAATTACAGTATGACACACATGCACAAACTCACACACGTACACACACCACAGGCCATTAAGTTATTTGCTGAACACAGTTTTTTTGTCTCTTCCTTCTCCACAGAACTCTAACCTAAGCACTCAGGATCATGAGAGCATCATTGTGGTGAGTGTGAAGTTCACTGTTGGTACAAATTGATATTTGATGTCAGGTTGAAGTTAATATCTGTTTACAATGCTTCCCACAACACCCACAGATAAATGGTTTAAATCACTTGATTCTTTAACTTCACAATTTTATTGGAAAAACAAGAAACCCAAAATTTCTCTATCTACACTCCAAAAGAA